CAATTTAGATCGGCACCTCATTATTTATCATATCTATTGATCACTTCTAGGGTCATCTGACGTAGAAATGGAAGAGTTCAGTTTTCTCTTTATGAACATAGCCCTTGCTGTAAATATTCGATAGATACATTTCCCTGACTCAGTGGGGCTGATTATTTGGAGTAGGTAGGGTTGCAGTCGCTAAACGGCTTACAGCGATAAAAGAGTTTTTAATTTACTCCATTTTCACTGCATTAATTTTTGCAGTGGGGAAGGACTAGAAGTGAACTTACGAACCATTCGTGCTAGTCCACCCTCCCACCCATCCCATCCATCACACAGTAGTCTCGTGTGTGGGAAACAAACGTCTCCTACCCCAACCATGCAGGAGACGGGACCTCCATTTGTTCGTTCCTATCCGAGAAGACTAGAATATCTAACCATTTTTTGATGTTATAGAAAGGTAGCAAATTCTTCTCAATTATTTTAAGACCCTGAGTGTTGGTCCGGCCGGGCCTCGAATCCTCGACCTCCCACACAACAGTCCAGCGCTCTATCCATTGAGCTAACCGGGAGGCGGTTAGAGTAAAAGACAATAAGATAAATACGACTGAGTGACTAAAGTTCATTGTCTTTAATAGGCACCGCCCTTGTCGCCGATGTAAAAATAGCTTCAAACTATAATAATCCCAGCATTTTTCTATTTATCCTCTTCAAAACTACGGCTTATCAGCAAGACGGAGGAGAAAACCGATGATACTTATATGTCTATGCACACAATAACTTCTATCCGTTGCAAGCGCACTTCGACGAAAGGGAAGGGTCTCAGATTGCTATTGTAAAATGCTGGATCCCCTAAATTACATCGAATTTCAATTTTTTAAATCTTATTCAAATATCATTACCCATCATTACACAGTTTTCATCCTGAAGATTAAGGTGAAATTTACGATTTCGTTCCATCCTCTATTTAATCCCGATTTCAACTGCCTGTATGAAAATTATCCAATTGACATCGTCCAACTGCATCTCGGTCGACACCACCTATGAAAATGAATCCCAAGATACAAGGTCCAGTTCGCCGAGAGGTTTTCAACGCAATTGCCTCCAACCGAAGCAAATATTCAGGGTTAGGTCTACAATTCAAAACTAGCATGCTATAGAATAGTTGGGAGAAAAACTGATGGTATAGTTGTAACAGGTGTTTTATCTTCCCTTTTCTTTTCAAAAAAGCCGGGTGTCGCCGCTTACTGATCGTTAACCAAATATTCCGAAGTTTTCTGTAAAGTTTTCTTTGAAATAACAACGTAATTCTGTATTAAGTGACATACATTTTATAAGAATTCTACGAGTATCATAAGCTTTTGTTTTCCTTTTTGCGACCTTCGTGTCTTTCGTTTATTGATCTAGACGGCTATGTTCGCTTTATTGCGAAACCGGATGATCCAAGCTATGTTAAGAAAGGTCGCACTGCTAAACTAGTATGGGACTATAAACCTTACGATCAACCGACAACGATTGTTCTCAGTGTAGCTGTTCAGAATACATATGTACCCTTGCTCGCCAAACAGAATGGAAGTGTGACCTATTCCCCAAATACACCGTCTGCTTATATGGGAAGAGTGAAGTTGGAAGGAAGAGCTACTATGGTCATCGATAATGTATCTTCTCAAGACAATTTTGCCTTTTTTCAATGTGAGCTTGTACCAAGTGATTC